CTTTTGGCAATGCAATTTATACCTGTTCTCCTCTCCCCACGATAAATGTTTCATCATAATGTTTCATAAGCGCACAAGAGATTTTGTTGCAACTACTCGCTTTAACTGTGTGTCGCGCTTCAGCCCTTCTCATGTGCCGAACGCATTAGAAACAATAAGTCAATAGATAATGAGGCATTTCAGATACATGAGAAGCACGGCCGCTTAGCGAGAAAACATTTCGACTAGCCAAATATTTTTGTTCTGTTCATATGGATAAACGTTATTTCACCGGGTAAAGTTTCCGGCTTGTGGACGTATAGTATTGGTGTGACGCGTAAGGCGGGAAAAGTTTAAAAAAAACTTTAAGATACATTTTAAAATCAGAAAAGTTGCGGACACGACAGAAAGTTTTCCCGCTAGCCGGGAAAGTTGTGCCTATTATATGTTGTGTTTATATGGGAAAACATATTCGCTAGCGGATTTGGAACGGTGGTTCCATTTTAAGGGGGGTCCAAATCTGCTGTGACACCTGTGACTGTGTGGATATATACTCATATTAACATCATAAGCATCATATTCACCTACACTACACCAACACAGAAAAATTAAATTTTTATTTTTATTTCCAAACAATTAAAAAATGTGCCAGGGTAATGGTATAACTAGGGTTTCCCAGCCGGTAGGCGATGCTTTTCGGCCGAGAATTCACGCGCCGACTATATGGAGAATTATATACTTCAAATAATGTTTGTCATTTTTCGAAGGTCAAATGTTCACGAAATATCCTCTCTATTTCTACCGCGGTGTTAAGCGAAATTCCTGACCTCTGCGAAATTTCCTAACCAGGCGTAAAGGTCCATACACACCGGACGCGATTCGACAACGCGACGCGATTTTTTAGTTTTTGAAAGTTAATAAAACAGCCAATGAGAGGAAGTGTTGAAAGATATGTAGACCAAATAACTCAAAATGTTATAGCGCTTGCTTCTAAATATTTGAAAAATTTTAACTACGATCAAAGTTATCTATCAGTGAAAATCAAAAAATCGCGTCACCCGGTGTAGTATGGCCCTTAAAGCCTTAAAGATACCCTCGTTGCCTCAAAATAACCTATACGTACTTGTTTTTCACATTGCGAGATCGCCTTAATGAGTCAGAATAGAAATAATTCTCAATATCATATTGCCTTCGTGATCGATGATGTTGTTTTTTTCCTATTTTTTTGTGCTGCAAATACATTGCAAGGGAATATTAGAGGGGATTATTAAGGGGGTCTTCCACCCTAAAAACATTTTTTTCAATTTAAAGGTTTTATCATCATGTTTGAGTCAAATATGATGGAATATCCTCAGCAGGCTGCTCCATTTACTGTTCGGAGTACTCCGGATTTTCGGAACACTAATCGAATCGAACCGAAAACGGTCACATGACTGTTCTGACTGCCCCTACTCAAAAGTAGGGGTAGCTAGAACAGTCATGTGACCGTCAGAACAGTCATGTGACCATTATTGGTTCGATTTAATTAGTGTTCCGAAAATCCGGAGTACTCCGAACAGTAAATGGAGCAGCCTGCTGCTGACGCAGGATCAGTAACTTTTACATTCGTCGTTGCCATAGTAACTAAGATAGGCCTCGCTATAGGGTAAAATATAGGTGTAGAATTTGCCCTACGAAGGTGTAGAATTTGCTGGATTTCTCTGGTTTACGGTACATTTTCGTTCTTAAAATTACACGGATTTTATAAAGAACGCTATAAAGACTATACATTTTTACGTTTTTCTAAAAAATAACGAATATTGGAAAATTTGGGTGTAAGACCACCTTAAAGGCGGTTTTCCACCCATGAGCTCTCAAGCAGAACTAATTGTAAAAAGACAAAGAAAAATTTCGTTTCGGTCGAAAAATTCCGCCTCGTGGAATTAGGCCTTAAGATCTCTTTTCGATTGACTTCTTCCATCGGAAGATTTTATATTCAAGCTTTATTATCGCTGAACGCTAACGTTCACAACCAGTGATATAGTGTCAATTCAGTTGATAAATTGCAGAATTTGAAAATTTATGTATAAATATTATCCAACAAAATGACTTTATAAAATACACGTGTTGTCTGTTGCGTTGCGTAATTTGTGAGCCAAAGTCATTCATGCGCATCATTGTCTGTGATATTTCGCAAGTCAGAAATTTCGCGTTAACGCCCACACAGACCGGACGCGATTCGGCAACGCGACGCGAATTTTCAGTTTCCAAAAGCAAATAAAACTGTCAACGGATAACAATTTTACAACATATATGCAAACCAAATAGCTAAAATTGCTTAAGTGGTTCCCAATATTTGGAAAACATTGAAAAATATTAATGTTAAATGTCATTGAAAACTAAAAATTCTCGTCGCGTTGCCAAATAGCGTCCGTTCTGTATGGGCCTCAGCCATGTAGTCCATTTATCAGTCGCCGTATTGAAATTCTTCAGTTTCACCGTAACTATAGATAATCATCTTATCTATTGAACAACCGTTCGATACTGTGATTACTGTCGAATCTATATTAATACGATTCGTGAATTTTAGACAAATCACTAACTGATAATTAGAACTTGTCCATTTGACGAGACGAATGGGAGACCAATGAGAATGGTTTGATTCGTCGGATCCATTGATCCATTGGACACGAATGGAGATTCGCAAATGATTTCCGTAAGTTTAAAAAGTCTCATCATTATTTCAAATAAAACATTGTTTGACTTCTCGTTGATATTAGATCAGAAAGGACACTGGCTTTACATTATGATAAAAACTTTAAGCTATTAACATTCATTAAAAGCGACGTGTATATAGTTTTCACTATTCCTGATATATATAATGGAAGGTTATTTTAAAATATAAACCATCTAATATAAAAATTTCATCCAATATAAAAATTTCAAAAGTAATCTTTGGTAATCTTACTAGCCTATATAGTTTATTTCTAGTGTTAGGGACATTGTGATTTAGCAACTGAAAATAGTTGTTGAAGTCCTCGTATATAAATAAATTGTTACGAGATTTATAGACGCGTCCTCGTATTATAAATTGTTAAAAGACTAATAGCTTTATAAAACAGCAGTGTCACTGCGTAACGAATACGATGAGTAACGAATGTTCGGAGTGCATGTACCCTCATCTGAATATTCATAACTTATCCACTCGTTAACATACTTCAGAAAAAGAAAATCCCAGCACCTAAAATCGCAGCAAAAATTGCAAGTGTAAACGACCCTTAAAGTGCATATGACATGAAATTTCTTATTTTCGTAAACGAAAGAACTCTTTAAGCTGTAGTGTGACTTGTTTTTCAGTTTCTTGTTTTTATGGTTTGTTCCCGATATATTTCAATTCGTTTGATATGTAAATGATTGTGAATATGTCCGCTAATTTATGACGTCAAGTTGTTGCAAGCTCTACTTACACTGGTTATAAATCTATTAACTCTAAAAACTGGAGATATATGTACTCGTTTTTCTCCAGTGTTTCATCACATTTACCAGTGAGTGAAGTTTGAAATTATCATCTTGAATGATAGCAGTGATATTCAACCATTTTGAAGAGCTTGCAACCAACATGACGTCATAAATTAGCGGACATATTCACACTCATTTACATATCAAACAAATTGAAATATCTCGGGAACAAACCATAAAAACAAGAAACTGAAAAATAAGTTACACTACAGCTTAAAGAGTTCTTTCATTTAAGAAAATAAGAAATTTCACGTCATATGCACTTTAATATCTCGTGATAGATTTATGCTTTCTGATAGCTACATCATTTCTGTGCGTTTCTCTGAAGGAACGATGTGATGGTTATGCACGCATGCATAGTTAAAAATATAAACGCCCTTGTTTTTAAATAATTTTATTTCTGAACAGGTTAGGTTCTCATTATTTTATGCAACTTCAACACAATTTACTACCCTATTCATATTTTGTTAAATGTGAGCACTGTCTTAATTTTAAAAACAACATTAATATGCATTCTAGGACGACCTATTCGTGTAATGATCGCACATGCAGATACTTTCGACTTCTCTGTTCCTCAGTCAGAAATCAGAAGAGCGTGGTGCAATTATAGGTAGAGCAACAACGCTAAATTTCAATCCTTATCACACAAGCCAAATTTCAGCCACGATAATTTTGCTCGTATATATTTTACATAACCTTTTATGCATTCCTTATTATTACATATTCTTAATTTCACATTTCTTATTTCACATTATTCACAGATATTGTTCATGGTACAATGTCAATGTATGGGTGTCCATTTTTGGAAATGGATGGTAAAAATGTTCACCAATGGGAGATATTACCGAAAAACCTAATAAAAAATTATGGAGTACACGTGAACAGTTAACTCTTAGAGATACGCCCCATATTATCTTTGCTTCTTTAAAAGTTGGTCGTCTCGGTTTCCAAGATCCGTTAGCTGAACTGGACGTTCAAACGTGTTGTATACAGGCAATCAAACCGCTATATTCTTCATATCCATTCGTCTTTGTGGTTTCCAAAGGTGAACTGTGAAAGGCTGAACTGTTACTTTAATTTGCTGTCCAAGCTGATCCATCACCAGCTTCGATCTGTGAGATCTTACTTAATGTGAGTAATATTGGGCTTGCCACTAGCTATATACACCTTAATGTGACTAATATTGGGCTTGACACCAGCTTCTTTGACCAGTTTTGAAACTATTACAAAGGTAAAATGCATGAGGGCGACAAAGTTTAGAGAGTGCAAAATGATAAAAAATGGAAAGTATTTTACTTAACGAGGCTTTCTACAGTTGATTCAGAAAGTTATAATGTACTTTTTGCAATAAAATATGTATGTCACTGTTCTTCTTTTTCCGCTATGATTGTTTTTTTGCCTAATATAACAACATAAATTAAAAAAAAACATGTTGCCATGTTTACATCACGAGTAACGATATTCGAGGAAACAAAGGCTTATGCAAAACATCGAGTTTTCTTACCCCATAACCTTTTAAACACTGATATATATATTAGAAACTGTAGGTAACATAGTAACTTTAAATACACGATTCCAATATAGTGACGCTATATTTATTGGAGCCACATAAATTACTTCCATAAACATCCATATTAATCAATTACAGATTATTAAAATTAAAATTACTCCGTATCATTTTGAATAACAGGATTTGGGTCATCTCATTAGATAGAACTAATTCTTGAAGGATTTTGCAGATGTAAACTACGAGTGTGAATTCTATACATTTATACATGAACTTGCGGTTATAGCTCCACAAATGGAATTCTGTGTGTTTCAATTTCTGCGATAGAGCCATTAGTTGCATTTTTCTCAACTGCTCCTGCTTAGGATCTAATATGTGTATAAAATTTACATTCGAAATTTCCATCTATACAAAACTTTCAACCCCTCCTAATTTGAACACTATATATACATTTGCAAAGAACGTTCCAGGCTATGATTATGCAATTTGCAACACTATTTGGGGCTCTCGAGCAGGGTTCGTAGTCTCCAAGACCAAAAATATTCAAAGACTTTCAAAGATTTTTTCTGCTTATTGTCAAATACTTTTCAAAGACCTTTGAGAGCAATGAACTGTTGAAAAATTGCGATGTATAAGCACCATTTTTACCAGGTAATTAGTCTGGTCAAATCACATCCTAAAATGCACTTTTTCGTCTATATTTTCGAAAATCTTGCTTCAAGCAATCTATTATATTAGCTAGGAAATCGTATAATGAAATATTCACTAAATAATTTAAAGACTTTTAAAGACTTTCTTCGCTTTTTCACACAATTCAAAGAATTTTCAAAGACCTTAAAGACTTACATTCAAATTTAAAGACTTTCAAGGATTTCAAAGACTCTGCCAAGGTTACGAACCATGCCAATCATGCACCCCGAATCAATAAAATATTAACAAGGGCAGCCCATAACAAGAAAGGTCCCGATTAGCCTTCCACCCTCTTCTAACATACATTGCAGTTAATTACTCTTCGTCCATTCCTCTAAGTCAATATTGTTTTCAAATCCTTGCTTTTCAAGGCCGTCGGAAGTAAATCAATATGGGGGCGCTCAAGGATAAATCTGAATTGATTTCCCACTTTTCTCGTTCTTTTGTGTGTTTTGCTTCTACAAACAGAAATTATTTGGGTGGCTCAAGTCCCCAGCCCCGCCCGCTTCCGACGGCCTTGCTACTCATTTATTAAAGTGGGTTGAGTGTGATGCATGTATACCAATGACTTTGCTTCTCCCATGATCTTTCTCACTTTCTTGATAAGTCTTGCAAGTCTAGTGTCCTGGATACACGGAATATGCTTGGCAACATGTTACTCAGTGTGTGAAACATATCTGATGAAATATCCTAAAAAATGAAGAAAATATAATTTGCATGCACTGATGTAAAACATTGAATATATCTTCTGATTTAATGTAAATATGTAACGTACAAAAAAAATCGTAAAACGGCTATATATATATATATATATATATATATATATATATATATATATATATATATATATATATATATATATATATATATATATATATATATATATATATATATATATATATATATATATATATATATATATCAAGGAAAACCTAATTTTGATGTATAATACTCGAACTTTCATGGAATATATTGAAAGATATAAATGTTTGAATTTTGAATTAGATTTCCACTAAAAATGACATAAAAAGGCTTATTTGAACACTGTTGCCGTTTCGTCCAGGTCTATATTGCCAATTTCAATGAATTTACCTTTAATTAATTCATTTTTTCGTTTGGAATGTTCATGCGCGACAATGCAATAAACTTGAGACAACTTTGTGAGGAAATGGCTTTAGCACATAGAACGTTTGCCTGGCTTTGACTCAGTATATTATCCTATACATTCCTTTGGGAACAAGTTTTCCGACGAAATCAGTGCATTCGTGCTAAAGGGCAAGACTTTTAATCACATATCATTTGATTTCTAACATCGTTACTCACCTTCGGCAGAACAAACTGAATATTAAATGATTCAGATCCACTCCAGGACGCACACTCCATCATAAAACCTATTAAGAAAAAATTCACAATCCATATATCGATGTATCATCTTATTTTCAAACTGATTAGAGGTGTGCATTAAGTCGTAATTACAGGCCCGTTCAAACCAGTTGTTGGTCCAACAGCATTCAATATTGTGAACATGGGTCCATTCATAGCCTATCGAATGAAAGATGGCTGTGAAACTCATTAGAACAACAAGACAACTCATTATCTATGTTAGTCATAGATAACTTTATAAATTATATATAGTTTATAAATCTGGTCCTTCACACTCCCATGCATGTGTTATTGTATTTTTGCCCAACTTAACCAATAGCATACCCTGCGAGCAAAGTCCTCTCGTATTTCTTCTCGCCATGGCACGGAGAAGCGAGAGAGACTCTGCAGAACTTGTGTATATTCTTTGTGGAGCCGACAATCCAAAAACTTGGATAATTATGCGTAATTTCAGGTTGATACCGGTTTTATAACCGGTTTTGATCCGAACCGGAAACTACTTATTAAATCTTCTTCTGGAAATAGGCAGTTGCTTAGCAACCTAATAGCGCATGCTCAAATGAATTTATACACAAGTTCTGCAGTCTCTCTCGCTTCTCCGTGCCGTGCCGAGTAGAAATACGAGAGGACTTTGCTCGCAGGGTACCAATAGCAATGTGTTAGGACAGTTACTTATCCGGCCATGACTCGAACAATAGGGAAATTGCATGGAAATTGCTATTGGTGGATTTGGCAAAAATACAATGAAGGTGAAGGACCACATTTATGAATAAACGTTGACTAACATAGATAATGAGTTCATATTGTTATTCTAATGAATTTCAAAGCCATCTTCCCTTTGATAGGCTATGGTGTATTTGAGCATTATGTTTGGTATGTATTATGTAGGCAGATGTTAAAGGATGTTGGATCAAGATGTTAAAGGATGTTGGATCAATATGTTAAAGGATGTTGGATCAAGATGTTAAAGGATGTTGGATCAAGATGTTAAAGAATGTTGGATCAGGTTCGATTTGATTCAACATTCTGAGAATGTTAGATATCTATGAACTAAAACTCATATATATATATATATATATATATATATATATATATATATATATATATATATATATATATATATATATATATATATATATATATATATATATATATATATATATATATATATATATATATATATATATATGTATGTCCCTCCGGAGGAGGCTACAGTAGTATTGGACTGATTTGAGCTGCTTTTTCTATATTAAAAATAAATAATGAAAACGTTGTCCGTTTAGTATACTGGAATATAAACTCTTTCAAGCTAGGAATTGCCAGAGTTCTTGAGAGGTTATCTTTTTATTTTACCTTTCATCGGCTTATATAAGCCTCTATACAAACACTGAAACATTCATGTTACACACCTTTGACACATTTTAACACCAATTCCGCTCGCCTTGTGCACCACGAGACTGTCATATCCTGAAATTCAAAATAATCTCAGTTGCAACATTAGCCATTCTGAAGTTGATGAGGAGACTGGGATAGAGTATTCAAAAGTAGAAAATGTACCCAATCATTGAAAAGAACAACCTCCAATTTAGTAGGTATTCAAAGTTTGACCACATTTGGTTAAATACAGCTACTATGTGACTTTAACACATTACCCAAATCCCTATGAAATTGTCGAGGTAGGGGTTGGAGAAGCACGTCCAGTACAATGTATTTTATAGTAATTTTCCAAATTTATGAAAGCTTGTTATTCAAACCGTATGTATCCGAATGCGTCTCAACACAACTTATTTGTTGTATTAATATTTAATAAGCCATTTTTAGTTAATTTCGTCAGTTGCAAAAATGTTTACTTTTACTCCTGCTTAAATGCATTTATCTTTGTCAATATGGCATCGAAATGGGCATGCATGACATACAGCTATTTTTTTCATTAATTTGTTAACGATTCCCAGCAGCCTTTCGCGCTCGTATTCGACTCTTTCGCTTTGCTCGTGGACAACCTTAACTGAAATAGCTGTATATCAACAATTGTTTTAGTTTTATTGCTCTTTTAGTTATATAAGGTATATATATAACAACTTGTGGTTGGATCTCGACAACTGCATAGACTCAGTACTCCGCTGTAGCTCAGTTGGTTAGAGCGCTTGACTGGAACCGCATGGCTGCAGGTTCGATTCCTACCAGAGAACCTATAGTTACATTTTTCGCATCTGCTCCTGGTACGTCTAAAATTTTATATATACAAACCTCCGTCATTTCCTCTGCCAACAAGACAGGAAGTGTTATAGTGTGGACATTTTGACGTGATGCTGTATGAAGGACATTGCGTAAACCACTGACGATTGCATTCCGCGCTCCGAGAGTGGGTTCCTTCAACGAGTCATCAACAACAAGATGAAATACAACATGGACTTGAGAAAGATTGGAATGACGTGTGATGTAAAAGTTACCTGGAAGAGAAATAAATATGTACGCCACTATGAAACCATTTTTATTTGAATTTGGTGTGACCTTCCCATGGTACAGTAGGGCCTGTGGATAGGCAGAACTAGGACTAGACCAAATTCAGTCCAAAGACTCAGCCTTGTTGTCTATGGTGAATATAGACACTCAGGCGTCGCCTCCATGTCTATAATCCACGGTCACAAACACAACTTCCCGTTAAATGGTTGTGGCCGTGCCGACTAAAATTAATCGGGAAGAAAGGGAAATTACATTACCATACGCACTTTATAATACAGTGAATGTAGATTGTGAAATATTTCAAGGCAATGACTCACCAGTTTCGATGGTTGAAGTTTTAAAAGCTTCGTCAGTTTTTGTCTCAGCAACCTTGTCAGTTTTTTTCTCAGCAAGTTTCTTTTTTTGCCTTTCTTCCAAATTCTGTTGAATCATACAAAACTGCTTATCCAAATCGGGGAAATGAAAGTCAGTTGATCGTTGACATATAGACGCAAACTCTACAGAAAAGAACAAACTGTTCTTAAACCAGGCTTGATTAATTCATATACCAATCAATTTCATTCCATTCCTATTTCACTCTTCTGATGCCTCCCTCCCCCGTAATCGTTCTTACAATAAACTTATTGCTGTATTTTAAATCTTCAAAGTGCTTATGAAACATTAAATATTAATAGTAAAATAAATAATAATCCCTTAATATAGCATATAGTACTGAGTACAAACCTTTTTTAATCCCAGTATAGGAGTTAATTCTATTGTCGACAAGCAAAACCAAGCCAGAGAGCGATTGAGAATACAAGGACATAGCAGTTTGAATTCTCTGTGGTTGTGCCCAGATACTGCTCCTAATTGAACATATATAAATTGAGATTGTTATGGGAATTCTACAGCTTTCTGTCAAAATAATCAAAACAATACACTATTTAACAATTAGTCGCCGAAGGCGAGTTGCTAAT